TATTCCATTGTGTGAATATACCACAGCTTCTCTATCCATTTGTTTGTTGATGGGCACTTGGGTTGTTTCCAGCTCCTTGCTATTGTGAACAAAGCCACGATAAACATGGGTGTGCATGTATCTGCTTGCGTGACAGTTATGGTCTCTTTTGGGTATATTCCCAGTAGTGGAATTGCTGAGTCAAATGGTATCTCTATTTGCAACTTTTTGAGAAAGTGCCATACTGCCTTTCACGGTGGTTGCACCATTTTACACTTCCACCAACAATGAATAAGGGTTCCAGTTTCTCCACAACGTTGCCAGCATTTGTTGCTTGCTGTTCTGTTAAATGTTGCTATTCTAACTGGGATGAGGTGATATCTCACAGTTGTTTTGGATGCTACTCTCTTAACAGTGTTTCTTGAGATCAGGAATTTAATTTTGGTTAAGTACACTAACTATATGATTCTTTTTCTTTTGTAGTTCATGCTTGTTGTATTGTTTCTAGCCACTAGGATTTTAGTTTAGTTCAATATAAAAATACTGAAGTGTGATATTTCAGGTTCAGCTCCAGAACACACTATCCCAATAAAATGAATATTGACCAAAAAGCAGTCACATGATTTTTGTTTTTCAATATGAAAGTTATGTTTACACTATGTTGGAGCTCTGATGATGTATCCTGTCGAGAATTGCACTGCTAACCCAAATGCCAGCTGTCTTGTTGGTTCCAATCCACCAAGTGACTCAAAATGAGGAAGGTGGGCAATCTCCTCCCTAACAGCCTTGAAACCTGATGCTGAACCCAGGCCTGGAAGTGCCTCAGGGTGGACTTGAACTTCTAACCTTTCAATTAGCAGCATTAGTAGCCAAGTGTGTTAACCACAATGGAGGTGTTTGAGTCCTCATAGTGATTATATATCAAAATCCCCAAAACTGCTGTCTGATTTGAACCCAGCTCTTGGGAACCCCATGTGTTAATCTTTGCAAAATTGCCAAGTCTTTCTCCTGTGGAGTCTATGGGTAGATTTGAACCATCAGCCTTTCTTTTTTTCTTTTAATAATTTTTTTTTTTTCATGTGTACTACCAAATCTGATCTGACTACTAAAGGGGGAGATTGCCCATCCTTCTCCAGGAGAGCATCTGGAGGATTTGAACTGTATACCTCTGGGATTGCAGTGCAGCTTCTTGCCATTAGCTCTCCTACCACCAGCCTTTCTAGTTAGTAACCACCCTTAACCAGTGAGCTCTTTCTTGAACTGTTACAGTTAATTTTGAGCTAAAAAAAGAATCAATCATCTTGTCACAGATAAGATTAGTAAGCTAGAGATCATAGCGTATACATTGTAAACTCAGTTGTGTCAACTACTCTAACTTTGAGTAAGTCATACTCATCTCCCAGAACTTTGTGCTTCTTATTTGGAGGGAGGTCAAGACTAGAGCTCCTCCAGGCATGTTTTTATTGTAGCTCAAGTTGTGCGCTAGAGAAGGGTACGCACCTCCTCAGGAGCAGAGAGGAGGATAGGACTGAAATGCAGCTTATGCAATAAACTGTGTGGCTTAGCATGGGTCTATGGCTGTTTACAAGGCAGTGACATTTTCTAAGTTGCATAGAGGCCAATTTGTTCATCAGGCAGTACACATTGGCATTGAGCATTTCATGGGAAGAGGACTGGAGAAGTGAGGAATGCATGAGACAATTTCCTCATAGATGTATATAGACCAATAGTGACTCTGTCTATGCCTTACTCAGAGAATTGTTACAGGGAACAGTAGGATGTACCTGCAAGTACTTTGGAATTTACACAACTTCACATCTTGTTATGCTACTATTCATCTATGGTTTATTTTAGGATGGATACAACAAGAATAGAATACTCAATTCCTTTAAGAGAAAACTGGGCCTTACCATATTTTGCATGTCAAGTTGCTGCACTTACAGGGTATTTGAAAAGCAATATAAATACTTATGCAGAGGTAAGATTCATATCTCTTCCTGTCAATCATGGCAAATTTAACATATTGCAAATATGGTATATAATTTAAAAATGAATTCTTAAAAGTTAATACTCCATGAAGCCTGCTATAACACTGTTATTCTGTAATCTTGTTGACAATGAATTGTTTTTCCCTTTGATCTCCTGAAATTCTAAGTATGGTGGTGAACATTACAACAATTGACTTCTTTCTTTCTAAGGTACCTTATTTAAGTTTTTACTTCTGCAAGGATTTAATAGTGTGATTAATGTAGTTTTAAAATGGAAACTTCATGAATGTTAAGTAGCTTAAACTTGAAATAGTAACAACTGCAACATTCTAAGTAAAAACCTCATTTTTTTTATTAGTGATAAATTTACTAATACTTAGTTTCTTTCTTTTATTTTCCCTAGAGGTTTTGCTACTTGTTAATGAGTGCTTCAACATACACTTTTTTGATGATGTGGGAATATAGCCACTATCTTCTTTTTCTCCAAGCAATATCCCTATTCCTGGTAGACAGCTTAAAACTGGAGCAAAGTGACAAGGTATTCAGCAACCTAAAGTTACTATTTCTATACTTACTTAGAGGATAAATATTTCAATTGGATTATATCTTAAAATCACATTTTAAGCTTTATTTTGAAAGTTTATGCTTAAATTCAGAAGGTTGGTAAACTCATTCTTTCTTAGCTCTTTTGGAAACACTTTGAAATTCCATGAACATGGCCTTTTTAAAGTTTATTTATTTGTTTTATTTATTCCCCACCCCCACCCCCACCCCAGTTCTGTGCCGTTGAGTCAGATCTGACTGGCACAGGAGAAGATTGCCCCTCTTTCTCCAGCGAAACAACTGGTGGATTCAAATGGTACACCTTTGGGATTGCAGCAAAGCTTCTTGCCACAAACATGGCCTTTTTTTAAAATTTTTTTTAAATTAATTAATTTATTTTTTATTTCAATGAACATCTACAGAGATTTTGGAATTCCATTCATTCATTGTTGCACCCTTCTCCCCGCCACCCCACCTCCACCCCTAAACATGGCCATTTTATATTCAGTTCCCATCAGTGCTTCCTCTCTGTTTTTGGCCTCTTACATCTAATTCTTTTTACTAAAGTGAAATATAGAGTATATGCAAAAAAATGTGCTGAATATACATAGAATAAAATATGGTTTCTTAACCACTCAGGTGAAGAAACAGAGCACATAGATTTCCATGAAACTCCACCCCTCACTCTTCCAAAGTCACATGCTGTTCCTTCCTGTCATAGAGGCTAACTTTCCTGAATTTTATTACACATTTACTTCTACTTATGCTTAAATTCTTTCTGCTACTTAGCTATATGTTATTGTTCTGTAGCTATATGTTGTTGGAACCGACCCATGGCTGAGCCTCCAGCAGGTTTTCAGAGGCAGTTAATTATATGGGAGGAGATTGCTTGTCTTACTCCCGCGGAGCAGCTGGTGGATTTGAACTGTGTGCCTTCGGTATTGCAGCACAGCTCCTTACTACTAGGCCACCAGAACTCTGGTGTATACTTAGCTGTATACTCCTAATAAATATTTTGTAAAAAGTATATTACTATTGCCTGTTTACTTTTGAGAACCATCCCTTGCACACATATTTCTTCTTAGTCATGCATTCTGTGGGTGATATAATTTTCTTTTTTAGTTCATGTCAGCAGTAGTGTTGCTGATATTCTTGTATGCATCATCTGGCACATATGTATAAGATTTCTGTGTATTATGTACCTAGTAATAAACCTGCAGGAGAGTCAGCTATTGGTCAGTTCCAAATCAACAGTACACAACATTAACAATGGAAGTCTAAGTCAAAGGTTATGTACATATTCAACTAAATAGTGTCGAGGCTTTTTACAAATGGTTATTATGTCAATTTGTACTCTCAGTTTTTATCAGTAGTAGATAAAGATTCCTTTTCTTATCTTTTTTCCTTTATTTACCAAATATTTATTAAGTACTTGTATGTGTGACTCTTCACTTCCTTTTCTTTATTCATTTATTAAAATGATTTAGAACCTCAGTGAATCCCAGCATTTTTTTGAAGAGAGAAAATTTAGTATGATACAAAGAACTGTTATTCAGGCATAAAGTTGTTAAGTTGGCAGTTTCCCTCTGGCATTCCCTATTAGAAAAGCCAGCTGGAATAGTGAAAATGGAGTTCAGAGACCCATTCCTAGCATTATAAAAGGGAGTAGAGGGTGAGTTTGGAGTGGAGAGACAGTTACTCAAACTAGAAGACAGATGTAGAATCAGCACCTAGATCAAGAAACAAAATATTACCAAACCCAGTAGACCCCATTGTGGCTTCTAGTCTTGAAATTTAGTCCATAAAAGTAGCCACAACTTTCCCCTCTAAATAATAATTTCTCATCTTTTTT